GATATATCTAATTTGTTTATATATCTTTTTATATATACATATATTATGTATACATTAGTTTCATATAAAAATATAATGATAAAATATATATGTATATATATATATATTTTAAAAATAAATTAAAAAAAATAAAAAAATATATTTTTAAATTAAAAAAAATATTTTTTTCATCTTAACTAAGAGTGAAAATTTTCGACTCAACATGATGACACGACTTGAATTCGATATGAAAATAAAAAGGTCAACTTGTAATTCGACACGATACAATTAGTTAAATGAGTTAAGTTAGATTTGACTAATATTCGACACAAACTCATAATGACTCACCATGAATCTGATAATACACAACTCGATTGTCATCCCTAATTTTAACTATCACAAAAAAAAAAATAGTCATTTTAATTTTTCATTCATCCAACTAAACACAAAAGAAGAAAAATGTATTCTTTCTACTTTTCATCCTTGAAAGATAGAAACTGTATCCCTCCTATTTTCCATCGTTCCTACCAAACGAAACATAACTATCCATTAATTAGTAGTTTTGTATTTTTTTTAGGCTGAGATTTGGACTTGTTCTAGCTCAACGCACAATAGATGGTCACTGGAATTGGAAACGGCAACACGTCCACACTCATCATGTCAACTTCTTTTAAAAAAACTTGTTTTAACTCTTTATAATTTTTGTGTATTTCTCATTGTTTTTGATCATGTCAATCTGTCACAAGAGTGGTCAGGCGGCATAAACTAGTAATTATGACAATCACTTTCTTTCGTGTTTATACACGTAGTATTTAATTCATGTCATTGTAATTTATATCATATTTTCATCGATATATTTGTCCCTGAAATCAAAAATTCTAAGACTAACTAGAAGTCAATTTCTTTCTCAATTAACAAGATTAGAGGTAGGTAAACCCCAACGATAATTCAAGTAATAACAAAGATGAATTATAAATTTAAATGTCCTGAATTCGAATTTTGACAACTCTTTCGGGTCAAATTCTGAAATATTTATTCCACATGAATAACTTAGGAATAATAAATAATTCTACATCACAAGTTAAATATAATGAGTTTCAATTTTTTAAAAAAAAGTTTCTTGTAGTTTCAAACTATGAAAAAAGTATTAGAGATGATCTTCATCTACGAATTTGTTTTCTTATATAGGACAAACTTCCAAACATCTATAGATCACTCCAACTCAAACCCTCCGAGGCATATTTGCCAAGAACTATAATTAGACAGAGATATGTACCAATAGACAAGAAAAACATAAACCAACATACAAATAGACAACAAGTACACATTCATCGTGTCAAAATGCTTTAAAAAGACTTTGTTCTAACCCTTTAATTTGTGTTTATCTTATTGTTTCTTAACCATCATTGTCATCAATCTGTCACACTTACATACATTGCACAGAACGTTGACATTTGCAATGAGACAAAATTATCAGTAATGATGACAATCACGTTCCGTCATACGTTATATTATATTTGATTTGTATTATTTTAGTTCATATCGTATATATTTTGATTAAGATTTATATCCGTAGAATCGGAAACTCCAAGCCTCAATGCTCTTTATTTCTCAATCAACAAGACTAAGAGCTATTTTTTTTTTCTAACCAAATCCATTGCAGGCAGATTTTTATAAACCAACAATTTACTTGTTTTGCTTCCTATTAATCATTCAATTTTACAACAATTAATACAATGCTAGATCAGGAGATATAAATAAAATAAAATAAATAACCAGATCATTAAAATTGAGTTATTCGTATTTGACAAACCCAACTTTTTTACTATTTATGATAACGAGTCTTTTTCAATTTTCATATGAATATGGTACTTGATTTGAATTAATATGTCGTATCGAGAATTGTCACTCTTGTTAATAACAAGTGCAAGATTACCTAGAAAAAGACGTCAAGGATAGTAGTCCTACCCTGTAATGGATCACCAACAGCAAACAAATAATTAAATAAGTAAATGAGTTGACATTAAAACCAAAAGGAAAATGTTATGAGAGGAGCCGACCTTTACTATTTTTTTAACCTACTAAATGCTTACTTCTACTGATAGCAGTTTGGAAAAAGAATACAAGTTGTTAAGCAAACTTTGGGCATCATCAAACTCTCTCCCTCTCTCTCTCTCTCTCTTTATATATATATATATATATATATATATATAAGGTTACTAAACTAAGCATTCTGACTTATTTAACGTACAACCGACTATGTTATGGTAAAATGTTACTTGCTTAGGTGTGCACATCTGTTATATCATCAAGCTACCAAGAGACTGAAGAATGACCAAAGCCTATTATGTATCATCTAGGCTTTGTAAAGTGTTTAATTTTTTGGGTATCATACTAAGCAATGTTGTGATTAAAATTTTGAGATCATGTCTAAAAAAGTTAGAAACGATCTTATTTTTTTTGGATGAATCTTAAATCGACCTTGTTAGGGATTAACTTAATTAGAAGAAAACGTAAGTTAAATTGACTACATCATAGCGTTTGGTACAATACTAACAAGATATGATATAATACTCAAATATCGTATATTATTTGGTAGGTGACTTTTTTACCCAATAAATTGCTAGTTGACTTTTACCTTTGATAAAATTATTTGGTTTTCTTGAAGTATTTTCCTAGTTTTTAACTTTAATGTCATTAGCATTCTTTATCATCAAGAAAATACGATAAGAATTTGACTATACGATGTTATAAATAGATTTTGTATAAGTTGATTCAATTTTAATATGAAACGATTTAAATTATTCTTACACCCAACACCCCAAGACCCATTATGAGTTCTACCCAATCCACCTTGGATTGGCTAAAACCATAAATAGCATGAACAAGAACAAGAGAAGCTCTAATTATACATGCCTATATATGATTGTGATAAGAGTTAAATCAATTTTAAAACAAAACGACTTGAATGACATAAACATCATATACGACCCATTTGCTGCTCTTCCCGACCCGCCAAGGATTGACAAAAACCATATAATCACATGAACATAGGAAATAAGACCCTAGGATCTGTCGAAGTGGCAACGCCCTCCAGATCTGCACCTCTTGGCGTCAAACTCGACGCCAACAGGTGCAGATCATGGCAAGTGTATTGGAAATTCTAATCCGTCCCATAAAGCCCATTGTTTAAAATGATGGCACCGACTGTTGCACGTTGTAATCCATAATCTATTACTTTGGAGTACACATGAGCAATGAACTTTAGCATCGGGCTTTTTTACGGCATTTCATTGGGCGGGAATAACATCAGGCCCAGCCCATATCCAAGCAGAATCTATTTCAACCTTTCAGACCTGGTCTTGAGCCGTGGAGGCCGGGCAGAGAGCTTCCAGACTTGTTCTACTCCGCCGGTGTTTATGCCGTCCGGGACACCATAACTATGAACTTCTTCGGGTAACAATGTGGGAAACTTCTGTGATATTAATGGCTATTTAGTCTTGTATGATGATATTGACGCCATAACTAAGAACTTTCAATTTAATCGATTTATGTGATTAGCATGTAGTTGTAGATACTTTCGTGTATTCTAGGGATAGGTCAAATGCAGGCCCCTGTCTCGGAGGGATACCTATTCATAAAAAATGGCACTACAAAAAACAGCGTAGTGGGTTATAGAAGAAGAGAAAAAATGGTAGGTTATAACGAGTCTTATACAAACCTAATCCGAGTCTAAATTCAAGGTCCGAAAAACTCAACTCAATTATCAGTGCTGAGTCTAAATCCAAAACAAATCAAACTTATTCATGTAATCCAAACCTAACTTAAATGAGTGTGAAAAGTTTCTCTCTCAAAAATACCCTAATTCTGGTTGGATATGATCATGTAATCCAACTATTCATTTAGTCTATTTTTATTGTTGCATCAATGATACTTATAATTAATTCAATAATAATATCGCTTCAAAAATAAATAAATTGACACAAAATTAATTCATGGACTTAATTGACACAAGAGTCATTTATTTTTGTCATAATTTGAGTTTAATTTATTTTACCTAAAATGCCCTTGTCTTATTGTCTATGTGGTTATCACCTGACTCTTTTTGTTTATGGGTCATTTATATAATTTTCTCCCAAGAGTATTATGGTTTAGGTTTAAATCTTATTTTATGGTAATTATCCGTTCCTTAATTTTAGCTTTGCGAAGCCCAAAATCCAAAGAAGCCAATGTCAAGTCAACCATCCAAAAAATCTGGATATCAAATCAAACTAAACAAGAGACTAGAGAGAGAAAACAAACCTATAATTTTGTTGGCCTGAGTTTCTCTTCCTTCAAATTCAACCTCTCGCATTTCCAAGAATCAAGGATATCCTCTCTTTCTTTGTTTTCACTTCCTATGTCTCTCTCATTCATTCTCTTTACCCTTCCCTACCCCCCACTCCTCTGCCTTCTCCATTCTCACTTTCATATTTTCCCGAGGCTCCTACCCACGTTGTAGACAACATGGTATGTCATCTCTCTCTCTCTCTCTCTCTGTTATCATGGATGAAATTGATACAGAGCATTATGAAAAAAACAATTGGACCATCTTCTTGAAAATCAGAGAAATGTTAGAAAGAGGAAATGCACAAGTTTTTTTTTTTTGTGTAAATCAATTGTCAATTGACAAATAACTAACAGAATCTCCATTGTTTTTGTCATTTTAGTTGGTGCTTGTCTGTTAGTACCCACAAGCGAGCTCTGCTGGGATAAGATGGGACCCGAATTTGACTCATGTCTAAACGAGTCGTGTTTGAAAATTTTTTTAGATTCATTTAAAATATGAGCCTAAAAGGGTTCGGTTCGAATTTATAAAAGTTAACTAATTTATATGTAAAATAGTCGGGTTTGGCTTATTTTGAGCTCAACTTATTTTTCAAAAGAACCGAGCTTAAACAGCTTGGTCGACAAGTTCAACTTGATTATCGATCCTAGTGCTCGTGAAAGTTTGCCTTTTTTAATGTAAATTTTAAAGGAGTATGCTTGTTAGTCATTCAACAAGATCATCAGACTTCATTGGAGTTCAACATAAACTTAGCTGTGGGATATCGTTTGACCATGTCTTTGTCCCCTGTCCAATGGTTCGACCACCATTAAAGCCTTCTTTGTTTTTTGAAACTGACCACCATTATAAGCCCAAAAGAGCTGGTTCTTGTTTTAAGAGTTCAGAGGAGCATGCAGCTGAGACAATTTTTTTCTTCCAATGTATATTTCATTCCCTTTTCATGCTGCAAAATGTTGTGTTAGGCGAATTCGGCATCTGGAATGGCTGTGGATGATAAGTGTAAGCTGAAGTTCTTGGAACTGAAAGCAAAGAGGAACTACCGTTTCATTGTGTTCAAGATTGAGGAAAAGATGCAACAGGTGACAATTGAGAAGCTTGGACAACCCGAAGAAAGCTACGATGATTTTACCGCAAGCTTGCCTGCTAATGAGTGTCGATATGCTGTCTATGATTTCGATTTCACTACCAATGAGAATTGCCAGAAAAGCAAAATATTTTTTATAGCATGGCAAGTTTTAAATTGACGCATAAAGATATTTCATCTGCAGGATGAATTGCATTGCATCATTGACAATGTAAGTGCTCTGTTTTTCTGTGTAGGTCTCCTGATACATCAAGGGTGAGGAGTAAGATGCTATATGCTAGTTCAAAGGATAGATTCAAGAGAGAACTCGATGGCATTCAGGTTGAACTACAAGCAACAGATCCAAGTGAGATGAGCCTTGACATTGTAAAAGCGCGAGCCATATAAGCTCAGTTTTTCTGCTTCAATCACCAGACATTGCTGCATTTTGGGGGCCTTTTCCTATCTCTCGTAGAACTTTATTTGAATCTAAACCAAGTGGGTTGCAATACCATTATGCAATTTTGTGACCTTGGCCCTTCTTGAGGACCAAAAAACCTTCACCATATCGTTCATCCCAAATCTTTTCTGCTGTATTCATGACTCTGATCTTAGATGTTTGTTTCCCTTCTGGCTTTTGCAACTTGGTTCTAGTACCAAGTGGAATTTTATGCCCTTAGCAATTCTTATTTGTATTTTAGAGGCCTCTTGAGCCTCATGCCACTGGCTAGTAATAGTTCTCTGTCACATTTATTCCACATGCTTGGCAATAATAAGCTTTTTTTCACCCTATCTTCTTGCATCAAACTTAAAAACTTGACAAAAAGTGGACCAGAGTAAACAACGGGTTACAAGATCTCCATTCACTATTTAGTAATTTCACATCTTTACTGATCGACAGAGGGTATACAAAGAAACGAGGATTTTCCATGAATGGAAACTCGATGTTCCTTTCAACATGGGAGTATTTACAGAAACTCACAGATGATAGAAAGGGGGAAGAAAGGAAGAAGGAAGAAGAGTATTAAAATTGTATATTTCTGATTTATGGTGTGTTAGCTTTGACTTGGTCACAATGAAAGAGCAAGCTCGGCCCATGCCAAAGATGATGCCTTGAGCTCAGCAGAAACAGATGTGTCAATTCTGCTCTCCAGCATGGTGCACAACTCCTCCATGGATACTCGGTTATTAGGACTCGGATAAATGCAGAGTGTTACCGCCTCACATATCACTTTGAGCTCATCGTATTTAAAATGTTTCAACTCAGGATCCACAACATAAGACATTACTTCTGGCAGTTCAAGATATTCCTTAGCCTGCAGCAGAGGGAGAACATTCATGTTCCAATGCATCCTTAATATTCATTTCAGGAATTCAAAATTGTTAGTCCCTTAAAAGTTAGAAATATCATGGAAAAAATCCACATATAGGCAAAATGTTGTAACTAATCTAAGAACATACCCAATCTACCAAGCACCCTTTGTCCTTGCAGTATCGAGGTCTCCCGCTGATTATTTCCAGAAGAAGTACACCGAAAGCATAAATGTTCTCTTGGACATCTAGATGACGTCCCTGTAGAGAATTTGCAAGAATACAAAGAGCACCTTCATTGCTGATAGCGCCAGAGTTCTGTTCTGGTCTTGAAAGAATTGTTTTCCAACTTTCGAAATCAACTAGCTGCAGCAAATAATCAAGGATCACATTTACAAAAAGACAGAAAATGGGAAAAATATAGATTTTGTAAAGGGGTGCCACATTTCCTTGGGGATATCTCCAGAGTTGATGCTTCAAGAACAAGAGGGAACATAGCTTTAATCTCTCTTTTTTTCAAGGTTCACATTGATTCTTTTTATTGGAGGTTAGATGAAACCAACCTAGTTTCTTAATATCACCACAAATCTAAACTTGTTCTTTCTATAGCATAGGTGAGTTAGGTACTAGCAGACTCTTTCTACACAACTGATAGGGATCCGAAGTCTAGACAACAACGTCTTACTTCTGCAGATATAGCTTCAATTCTTCCGCAAAGTCTATATGGTATCAGTACAAAGCTTTGGGCATACCTTTGGAGAAAAATCTTCTGTAAGGTATACAGCACTCGAATTCAAGTCAGATATCGTAAAAGGAGGCTCAAACTCAGAGTGAAGATATCTTAGACCCCTGGCAATGCCTAAAACAATTTTCATTCGACGTGTCCAGGATAATTGGCATCCTTCTCCATCTACAAGTCAATAGAAAGCTCAGGTGTCAATCACCGGAACATGTTTAAACTGTAATAAACAGAAGCTTTACAGTCTGTGCAGTGCTCAAAAGTCATAAACTGCAATAAATAGAACCTTTACTTACAGTGGAGGTGCTCATACAATGTCCCATTTGATGCATAATCAAACACCAGCATCCTTGTAAAAGGACTGCTCTCTCTACAATAGCCTATTAATTTTCCTGTGTTCTCATGATTTAATCTTGCCAAATCTGCAACCTGAATCATGCAATAGCTAAAAAACGTTAAAGCTCGGCTGTAACACACGTCCAAGTTTTACATTTTTACATATTGGGTATATCTTGAATTTTAATCAGGATCTACCTCTCTCTGAAAATAGAGTTCAAGATAGCCTGTCCAATGCTCTTCTTTGATGCAAAGGGATATCACAGCAATCTCAGGCCCACCTTTCATGGTGCCTTTGTAGACTAAACTGTCTGGAGACGACCCAATGATGTTGCTGAAATCTTCACAGGCTACTTCAAGTTCTTGTCTGCTGAATCTCACTACATCCTTCAACAATTCCATATCTGTAAGGTAACCCCACCAAATAAATATTATCAGCATTGAGAATAACACTTCTGAAATTGAAAATGCAGATTAGCAGATATCGTTGAGCCCAACCTATACAAAATGCCATGTGGTCCTTCTCACTCGCTGATTTCTTCCATGGAATAATAATAGAAGGTTTCTTTTTGCATTTCTGAAGAGTAGTGAGAAGCGCCACAAGAAAGAGAGAACCCACCATAACTCCTGTGACTATTTCCAGGGCTAAAAGCCAGGCAGGTTTTGAAGCAGCCTCATGTTTGGATCGATCTTCAACAGGCCGGTGTTTTACTTCGACTCCAGGATGGCTTTTGGCAGGTGGAGCATTACCTGTAACAAAATGTTGTCAATGCTTGCCAAAATGTTCAAACCTTGATGACTCTAGGTTGCATCCAATCTTAGTGTTAGAACAATATCTTAGAAGTTCGATGGAATCATAATTTTAGGCAACAACACAACTCAGGTCAGCCACTTTAGAAATACCAGGTCAAATATTTATCATCATCTCATCAAAAAAGTTGGTCCATTCACTCAAAGTTAGGCATATATGTATTTAAAAGCTTACCAGCTTTGGATTTTCAGGAGTAAAGCCTTCTATTCACTTATTTCATGTTCGGAAATTTCAAGAACGTGCATCTATTTTGTAGGCAGCTTAGAAGCTAGACATAACCTAAAGGAAGTTAATGCCAACGTACCACATTGAATAGTAGGGCGTTGTTTGGGATCTCCGTCTTGAAGGCAGTTCCCTTGAAAGCTTGAGCTGCACAGAAAATAAAGAAATTAAGCCAAGAAGATCTGCAGACAAAATAATAAGCCAGCACAAGAAACATATAAAATACCTCGGAAGATACCCCAAGCACTTGGGTATGCTCCCGGTAAGAAAGTTGTATGAGAAATCTGCAATTTTTAGTTGAGATGAGCGACAGAAGCCTGTTGGGTTCCCACTTGAGACATACCTGAAGCAGAAGTAATAGATTATAAGAAAAGTCAAATGTGCGACACAACATCATCTACGACCATTTGACTGGAACAAAACAAAGGGTCAAGAAATCCATGTCTTTGACTATAATTGGGCATTCCAAAAATTATTGTTTGCGAGTTACTGCATGCATCCATAGGGATTAGTGTTGACCAAAAATGGCCAGCCAGGACAACGCGAAAAGAATAATGGACAAAGCAAGTTCTGAATTAGCAAGAAGCACAATTTTACCCTAAATAAAAGCTTATATTTCTGTGCACTCTCTTCATATAGCATAATAATGGTGCAAAAGTCGCCATTACGAAATATATGGTACCATCGCCTGAAGAATATTTAAGTAATAGACAACACTGGATTCCTAATATAACGAGCAACATTGTTCAAAGACTAGGTTACATATTTGAGAGTGTGTCAATAATGTACCCTTTTTTGTTCGTTGGTAGTGCCGGAGCAAAGTTCTACACAGGTATATCTAAAAATATGTCAATTCAAAAGATCTAGAACATTCTCAGCAATCTTCTCTCACCCTGGCATTATGTGTGATCTGTCCAACAAGTATGCTCTGGCATGAGACAGAGAGATCCCTGTAGACAGATCTAACACTATGCAGGCAAATCATTAACTTTTTTTGCAACGCCTATACTTGACATACGTAGTATATGTGCTTCCTGTAGGTTTCTTATCATCCAATTCACAAATAATAAGGATCAGCTCATCACATTATATATGAGATAACATAATGGCCAGACGAAGGAACAGAAATGTATACCCATCAGTGTTTTATGCTCAGATATAATGTTCAAAGGAATATCTCTTCAATGAGTGATTTTTCAGGTAAAAATGCGGCAAGTGACCGCACAAGATAAATACAACAGCAAAAGCAGCAATTCCTTGTGCTCAACCAGCATCAAGTAGGAATAAAGGATAATAATTCTAAATAAAACACTTCCTGCATAAGAATGTTTTACTTACAGCCCTTGCAGCTTGGGCGCAGAGTCCGAGCCATTACTTCCAGGGACAGCTCCTTGAAGCTTATTTCGATCCAGCAGAAGTTCCTTGAGGTATTTCAAATTGCCAAGCTCAGCTGGCAATCTCCCAGTCAACCCGTTTGATTGAAGGTTTCTGCGAAAACACAAGAAAATTGACAAGTTAAGAGCAAGCAAGGAGTACCAAGCGTCAAAGTCCAATTTAAAAACCCCATCATTGGACACTAATATTTCACTTACATTTTCACAATGCTGGTCAAATTCCCAAGCTCAGCAGGAATAGGTCCTGATAGCCGGTTCATGCCCAAATCCAAGAGCTTGAGGTTTTTCAGCATGCCAATTTCTTTAGGTATTACACCAATCAGATAATTCCCATGAAGATTTCTATAGAACATCAGTATCTTGGATCAAACTTTGATTATTTTGGACAATTTTTTTCAGAATTTAATGTCCTGTATTGCAATAGGAACTCAAAGACGGATTTTGAGTATGATGTGGGAAGAAATCTTACAGTTCTTGCAGGGAAGTGAGTATAGACAGTTCAGGTGCAAGAAAACCCTTCAAAGACGCCCCAGAAATGTTACTGCAAAACAGAGTTCCACCATCAAATCTCAACTATTACAATGCTTCTAATTGCTAATTAAACCCAAGCATTTATACCTGAAAAGGAAATGAAATAGAAAAGTAATTCTTACATTTTTACCACAAAATCTCCAGCAAAGGAACAGGAAATTCCAGACCACTCACAAGGATCTGCATCTAGGGCATTCCAATTTGACAAAACCAGAAATGGGTCTTCATATATAGCTTCCTTGAAGGTAGAGAGAGCATAAACTGATAAACACCAAGAGTTCCCAGTGAGTAAAGTCCTTCTGAACTACGTTTTTTTTTCTACCCACCATATAAATACAGAGTTCCAAGATGTTCCCAGAAAATGGCTTAATCATTTCCTATATTGATCTGAATACTATAATTACTATCAAATTCAAGTTAAAAGAGTCTAATAAACAGATTCTTGCAGAGCAACTAAATCAAGATCTGTAAAACATTAAAAGGTAGATAGACAACACATACCTTCATTGGATGCAAAGGCATCACAAGCTACAAGGAAGAGTCCCAAACTAACCAATACAACTTGAAATGAACTGAATGGTCTCATTTTATCGGCAAAGGTCGACAATGTCTCGTGAACACTAGTGCTTTTACACAAACCCAGAATCCAAAGAACCCATCAAACAACAGTCACACAAGAAAACAAAAGGGGGAAAAGAAACCCAGAAAAGGAAAAGAGTAAAGAAAAAGAACCAAGTAAGTAGGAGAAAAGGGTTTATCAAGAAAGAGGAAAAGAAATTAGAAACAACGAAAAGTACTATTGTGGGTTTATCAAGCAGAACATGAAGAAATCTTAAGAAAAAATATTGCTTTTTCAAGAAACAAAAAACTAAAGCCAGCTTAGTGGTAAATTTGCGAACTAGCAACAAACCATGAAAGCAAATCACTGGAAATGAGAGTGAGAGAGTGAAGTAGAAAGACCCACTAACGTAAACTTAGATTCAAAGAGAGGTTTATTGCCAGAAGAAGAAACAGAGAGAGAAGAAATGCATTAAACTGATCGGAGAGATAATAAATTCCTATGCAACAGAGAGGAACAAGCAGAGAGAGATCTGCGTTTTGGAATGTTTACTTTGTGTTTGATATCAAAAATATTTTTTTTCTTCTGATTAACAGCTAAAATCTTTACTGCTAATGATTGTTCTAACTTCTAACCGGGGCCGAGTTGCTGAAATTCACTCATCTCGAGATATGCAAAATAGAGACATAGATCTGCTCTAATATATATATTTTTAATTATTTTTGACAGATTATTCATAATTAATGAAAAAAGGATTTATTTGTATATAATGAATTATACTTTTCTGACCAAAAAAAATAAAATTATACTTGAATATACAGCAAGAAGAAAATTAAAGATAAAATATATTGGATGACTACCTCAATTATTTTTCACCTTTTTTTTTGCCTTTTTCTTTTATTGTCACTTACTATGAGAACATTTTACATTTATTATTTTTCTAATTTAATGCAAAAAAATATGATCCAAGTCCAATGATATATTTTTTACCCATATGACCTATATTTGCCGAAGTTACTACTATTCTATTTGCTTTCCCAAAGCATATTTTTTCTAAATACTTTCATATTTTTCGATACTTGACTACGGTGTTGAAAAAAAAAATCAATCTCGTACCTCTAAATTTCATTACTTTAATGAGTGTTTTTATAATTTTTGTGAATTATTTTACAACAAACAAAATTTAACTTTTTGTGGGCGATTTACTATTTTTGTAGGTATTTTTATCACTTTTATATTAATTATTATTATCATTTTTGTGATACTTGCGATTGATCATAATATCTGATATTAATAATAAAAATACTCATAAAGTAATAAAAATACATATAAAAGTGATAAATAACAATTTAGTACTGGAATTTTTTTCTCTGATATTGTAGACATTCCTTATATTTTTGACGAATTTAATATTTGACATTAATATCTGTAATTACAAAAGGTATTTTCATTTTTCCTTTCAAGTAGCTTTAAGTCACCTTTAACTTGAAATTCCTTCATTAACTCCCAAGTAATAAATCCCATGGTGGTCTTTTTGGACCAACTGGCTTCCATTTAAGTTTTAAGTGCTAATAACAAACATATTTTTTGACTAAATACATGGAGACCCCTTACAAGTTGCAACAATGACATGAAGACCACAATTTTTTTTTGTATATTGTACCAAAAACATAACTTCGAATTGAAATTGGTGAAATTAATAATTTTATAATAAAAAAATCTTATGCTCCGTTTGGTATGACGAAAAAATAAAAATAAAAAATTTGAAGGATGAAAAGTTTGAGGAATAAATTAAATATCATGTTTGGTAAAAAAGAAAAATAGGAAGGATGGAAAAGTGGATGGATTAATTTCCTTTCAACTCATCAAAATCAATCCCTACAGAATCAGAAGGCTCATCAAAATCAATCCCTACAGAATCAGAAGGAAAGTGGATGAAAAATTAATTATTTGCGTTGAAATGTATCTTATTTATCTGTATATATCTTTTTATATATACATATATTATGTACACATTAATTTCATATAAAAATACAATGATAAAATATGTATATATATTTTTTTAAGAAATTTTAAAAATCAATTTTGGGTAAGAACGCCAAAGGAAAAAAAAACAACCAAGAAAAAAAATAGTTTTTAATTTTGGTGGAAAAAAAAAGACCACGAGGTTCGAAAATCCTAAATATAAATTTAAAGCAATACCATAAAGAATTAATCAAAAAACTTAATTTAATACAGTTGTTAAATTAATTATAAGTTTTACTATTAGATAGATCTCACTTGTAATTTATAATTGTAATTAAGTCTTTATATTTAGTTTCCAAATTAAATTCAAATAACATTTTATATAAATTTATTGTGGTAAAAGTGTAATTTCGATTATGAACTTCTCCGACTCATTAGCCAGTAACCATGTGCCTAATTCTCGGCGCAGGATAGAAACGCGACACGATACAATAGTTGTGTAACTCGTCCGGATTTGTAATCATCAAAATATCACGAGATGCTACTTAAAAAGTGAAAACGACAAAAAAAAGATGCAGACAGCTGTAAATTAAGGATTAGGTTTAAGAGAGTGAGGTGATTAGTTATGACTTTATGACGCCCAATTAACCCTTTGATTAGACCTTACTTTGTTTTTCCACATTACGCCCTACCCCCCCCCCCCCCTACATCTTTCAATTTTTAGTCACCAATAGATGCAATTGTTAGGATTTGACATTTTCTACACCTTTTTTTTTTTATCTTTTTTTTTGTTTTAATAATAAAAATTGTAATTGATGACGAACTTTAACGTAACGATAAAATTATTTTATTGTGATCTGAAAGTCGCATTTTGAATCTATTTACAAAAATAAAATTACATATATTTAATTTCTTTGGATCTTATAATTACGGAGTCTCGTACACCGAATACGCATGTTAACTCATCAATTAATACGAGACAACTAAGGATGGGCCTGTCTCTCAAATCCAAATTAAGAGTGAGAGATAATTACGAGATTTAATTAATTCTTTGATTAGACCCTCTTTGTTTTCCCACCCTACTCCGATGTCTTTCAATATCAAATCATCATTTGATACAATTGTTAGGATGGAGAGTTCTAAATTTTCTTTTTTTTTTATTTCTTAATGGTAAGTGATGGGACATTTCTGAAATACTCCAAGATGAAGACACGTATCCTCGGTGTCACTAAATCCTGTTACTGAGATCACGTACCCATCGGTTCACAAGTCCCTCTCCCCCGAGGTACTTTGTCATAGGAATCAAGTGGCATCCAGTACGTTTACGAACCGACACGTATCCCTCGGTCTGATATGGGTACATCAGTCGCTATATGCACCTCCCCTTGGCTCCGAGATGAACCTATCCCCTCGGGTCCGAGATGTACCTCCATCTAGGGTGGCGTTCTCTGCTCCTACAGAGGCTATTGATGTACAGCTCACTAGCCTAGGCTAGGCTAGGTTAGCTATCATGACCTCGTCTTACACAATTGGTGTCAGAAGGCACAGGAAGGCAGGGGCCACAGCCAATGGGGAATGGACGCGTTGCATATTGTGTCACATCAGAGACAAAAAGACCGCATGCCCTTGCTGACACACGACTTGGGAAAGCAAGCATTTAATTACACCATTCCCTTGATGAGACTGCATTTAATGCGGTAAGGCTCGAAAGTGAAAGGCAATAAATGTCTCTAAGGCTGGACATTTATTGCATCCTCCCCGAGAGGAGCTCGTTGAACAGTCGGCAGCCCGATGACAAACATTGATTGCTCGGGATCCCGAGCAGTTAAAAGAGAAGACATTCCTCGTAGGAATCAGTGCGCACGTTGCCTGTATCTAATGATCACCTACTGACCACATTGACAACAATCATGAGTATTTGAAGTATAAATACTCCTCGCAAAAGGCAAGATGGGATGCAACGAAAAACCTTTGCTACAATATATATTCAGTGTTTTCTTCTTTCTCTCTCTCAAAAACTGATTTGATCATCGGAGGGATACGCCGGAAAACACTCCAGCTCCCTTCTAACTTGTCATTCTTTCTTCCAGGAACCTTCTTTAGCCTTACTGGATCATTCCGTTGATCCACGAGGGTCTCCCATTACCGTTCCAAGTTACCACCGGACCTCACAGGCTATTCCAAGCAGCATGTTGACCATTCAATTGACTCACTCAAGTTCACCAAGGGAGAGATCTGTTCTTGTGTTTATATTGTGTAAGATCCAGCACGCACAATCTAGCGCCATCTGTAGGAAACGACTAATTTTCCTAGTTTCTTCTCTATAAAGAACAATGACCATGGTGAATACTCGACTAAAAGAGAAAGGTCCTAGCAAAAAAGTCTCGAATTACAAGCTCCATGTCACCATAGAGGGAGGGATCACACTGATGGGAATAAAAATGCCTCTATTCAGTCAAGAAGGGTTACCCCTCAAACCAGTATAGGAATCAGGTCAGGAGGATCAGCCCCCTTGGCTCGTCAGTTGGCGGAGGTGATCGAAGAAAAGTTTGGCGATAGATTACGACAGCTAGAAAAGGACAATGTAAACGTCCTAAGCCAGCTCAACGAATTCGCCGCCTCCGACGAAGGGTCGAGGGACTCATTCCTTTCTCGTGGGCTCCCCGCCCGGGAGGCAAAAACGAAGGATCTAAGGAATCATCTAAACAACAAGGCAGAAAGCTCTAGGGCCCCAAAGCGACCGAGAGCCAACGAGCACCCTCTTAACGACCATTCCAGGAAGGTAAGGCCTTTGGCCCTGGACGACCTCCGGCGAGGATTGTCGAGACGGAGGAAGGGAGATGAGTCCGAGGAGGATTCAACCCTATCCACACGGCGCCCAGGAAATGGGGGGCCTATTGATGAACTCAAGCACTTCAGAAGACATCCCGTCGGGGAGGAAATTGATCTCAGAGTCCGATTTGAATCCAAGAGAAAGAGTAAGGCTGTCCAGGATGAGGTCGAAGACGAGGTCATACAAACACCCTTTACCAGGGAGATCGGAGAGATGGAGGTTCCAAGAA